TCCTCCCCGACGAGGGGATTAGTGCTGAAATCGACATTGCCAGGCCGAATTTGGGTTAGCGTGGACGCAATTTGATGGTATTGGCCTCCGGGAGCTATCCCACAGTGCTCCATTGTGACCGCTCTGGACAGCACTCTGAACTCGGATGCACTGGCCAGGTAGACAGGAAAAGCCCTGGGAACTTTTGAATTTCATTTCCTGTTTGGCCAGTGTCGCAAGCTGATCAGCACATGTGACCATGCAGAGCTCATCAGAAGAGGTGACCATGGAGTCCCAGAAATGCAAAGGAGCTCCAGCATGGACCGAACGGGAGGTACTGGATCTGACTGCTGTATGGGGAGACGAATCCGTGCTATCGGAACTCTGTTCCAAAAGACGAAATGCCAAAATATTTGAAAACATCTCCAAGGGCATGAAGGACAGAGACTATCACAGGGACCCGCAGCAGTGCCATGTGAAACTTAAGGAGCTTAGGCAAGCCTACCAAATAACCCAAGAAGCAAATGCCCGCTTGGGGTCAGAGCCCCAGACATGCCGTTTCTATGATGAGCTGCATGCAATTCTAGCGGGTGCCCCTACCACTGCCCCACCCCTGTATATGGACTCCTGCAAGGGGGAGTCTCACGCAACAGGGATGAGGATGATGATGAGGGGGAGGTTGAAGATCGCACACACCAGGCAAGTGGAGAAACCGTTCTCCCCGAAAGCCAGGAACTGTTTATCACCCTGGATCAAATAACCTCCCAACCCGGGCTTCTGGACCTTGAAGGCGGAAAGGCAGTTCTGGTGAGTATACCTTTGTAAATATAATACACGGTTTAAAAGCAAGCATGGTTAATGATTACTTTGCCCTGAAGACTTGGGATGCATTAGCGGCCAGTACAGCTACCGGAAAAGTCTGTTAACGTGTCTGGGGATGGGGCGGAAATCCTCCAGGGACATCTCAATGAAGGTGTCCTGGAGGTACTCCCAAAGCCTTTGCAAAAGGTTTCTGGGGAGGGCAGCCTTATTGTGTCCTCCATGGTAGACACTTTACCACGGCAGGCCAGTAACATGTAGTCTGGAATCATTGCATAAGAAAGCATGGCAGCATGGGTCCTGGTGTTTGCTGGCATTCAAGCAACATCCATTCTTTATCTCTCTGTGTTATCCTCAGGATAGTGATATCATTCATCGTCACCTGGTTGAAATAGGGCAATTTTATTCAGGGGACATTCAGAGGTGGCCGTTCCTGCTGGGCTGTTTGCCTGTGGCTGAAAAGAAACCATTCCCACTGTTAGCCACATAGTGGGGATAGGGGTGAAGTGATCATCCCAGAGAATTGGGTGTGGGGGGAGGTTTAGTTGGGTTTGTGCTGTATGTTAACCTGAAAACATCAGCCCCTCCTTTTAAATGGCCAATGTGTCTTTCAGTTTTAATCTCCCTTTTTTTCCTCCCACAGCTGCAAATGTTTCAAGGCTGCGACTTATCTCTGTCCCAGAGGCTAGCACAGATAAGAAGGAAAAAAAATGCACTTGTGATGAAATGTTCTCTGAGCTCATGCAGTCCACCCAACTGAAAGAGCCCAGCAAAATGAGTGGAGGCAAACAATGGCAGAGTCCAGGAAAGCACAAAATGAATGTGAGGACAGGAGGGATGTGCGAGAGGATAGCTGGCTGGAGCAACAGGAGAGGTGGCAGCAGCGTGATGAGAGGAGGCAGGATGCAATGCTGAGGCTACTGGAGGATCATACTGATATGCTGCGGCGTACGGTTGTGGTGCAGGAAAGGCACAGACCGCCACTGCAGCCCCTGTGTAACCAACCACCCTCGTCACCAAGTTCCATAGCCTCCTCACCCAAACGCCCAAGAACGCCATGGGAGGGGGGGGGGGGGGCACTCCGGGCACCCAACCACTCCACCCCAGAAGACTGCCCAAGCAACAGAAGGCTGGCATTCAATAACGCTTGAAGTGCAGTGTGGCCTTGTCCTTCCCTCCTCCCCCACCCGGGCTATCTTGGCAGTTATCCCCCTATTTTTGTGATGAATTAATAAAGAATGCATGAATTTGAAACAACAATGACTTTATTGCCTCTGCAAGCAGTGATCAAAGGGGGAGGGGAGGGCAGGGCAGTTGGCTTACAGGGAAGTAGAGTGAACCAAGGGGGCGGGTTTTCATCAAGGAGAAACAAAACAGGACTGTCACACTGTAGCCTGGTCAGCCATGAAACTGGTTTTCAAAGCTTCTCTGATGCGCAGCGCTGTGCTCTTCTAATCACCCTGGTGTCTCGCTGCGCATAATCAACTGCCAGGTGATTTGGCTCAACTTTCCACCCCGCCATAAACGTCTCCCCCATACTCTCACAGAGATTGTGGAGTGCACAGCAAGCAGTAATAACAATGGGAATATTGGTTTCGCTGAGGTCTAACTGAGACAGTAAACTGCGCCACCATGCTTTTAAATGTCCAAATGCACATTCTACCACCATTCTGCACTTCCTCAGCCTGTAGTTGAACTGCTCCTGACTACCGTCCAGGCTGCCTGTGTACGGCTTCATGAGCCAGGGCAATAAGGGGTAGGCTGGGTCCCCAAGGATAACTATAGGCATTTCAACATCCTCAATGGTTATTTTCTGGTCTGGAAAGTAAGTCCCTTGCTGCAGCTGTTCATACAAACCAGAGTTTCTGAAAATGTAAGCATCATGTACCTTTCCTGGCAATGTCATGTTGATGTTGGTGAAATGTCCCTTGTGATCCACCAGTGCTTGCAGCACCACTGAAAAGTACCCCTTTTGGTTTATGTACTGGCTGCCTTGGTGGTCCGGTCTGAAGATAGGGATATGCATTCCGTCTGTCGCCCCACCACAGTTAGGGAACCCCACTGCAGCAAAGCCATCCACTATGATTTGCACATTTCCCAGAGTCACTACCCTTGATAGCAGAACATCAGTGATTGCATTGGCTACTTGGATCACAGCAGCCCCCACAGTAGATTTGCCCACTCCAAACTGATTCCCAAATAACCAGTAGCTGTCTAGCATTGCAAACTTCCAGAGGGCTATTGCCACTAGCTTGTGAACTGTGAGGGCTGCTCTCATCTTGGTATCCTTGCACTTCAGGGCAGGGGAAAGCAAGTCACAAAGTTCCATGAAAGTGCCCTTACACATGCGAAAGTTTTGCAGCCACTGGGAATCATCCCAGACCTTCAACACTGTGCGGTCCCACCAGGCTATGCTTGTTTCATGGATCCAGAATTGGCATTCCACGGCATGAGCCTACCCCATTGCCACCAGGATGGCCAAACTGCCAGGGCCCATGCTTTGAGAGAAGTCTGTGTCCATGTCCTCATCAGTCTCGTCACCGCACTGCCATCGCCTCCTCGCCTGCTTTTGCAGGTTCTGGTTCTGCATATACTGCTGGATAACACGCATGGTGTTTACAATGTTCATAACTGCCGCGGTGATCTGAGCGGGCTCCATGCTTGCCATGCTATGGGGTCTGCAGGAGAGCAGAGTGGCAGCAGAAGCAGTTGTTCAATGACGATGGTTTGCAGACCTTCTACACCGTCTGCTGCCAGGACACAACAGCTGAGCGGGCTGCACGCTTGCCGTGTTATGGCGAGACAAGAGCAGCTGAGCAGAGTTGCAGCAGAAGCAGCCCTGCGAGACCACCAGGAGAGCAGGAGAGCAGAGTGACAGCAGAAGCAGTGGCTGACAACCTGCGAGGTGGATTCATAAGAGCAGAAGAGCAGAGTTGCAGCGGAAGCGGGAGCCCATGAGAGACAACATGGAGAAATTTGCTATCGAGACAAGAGCAGGAGAGCAGAGTGGCAGCGGAAGTGGTGGTTCGATGATGACAGAAGTCCTACTGTACTGTCTGCTGAAAGTAGTATGGCGCCCGCATGGAAAAAAAGGGCAAAACGATTGTCTGCCGTTGCTTTCCCGGAGGGAGGGGCAACTGACGACATGTACCCAAAACCACACGCGACAATGTTTTTGCCCCATCAGGCATTGGGAGCTTAACCCAGAATTCCAATGGGCGGCGGCGACTGTGGGATAGCTACCCACAGTGCAATGCTCCGAAAGTCGATGCTAGCCTCAGTACTGTGGACGCACTCCGCCGACTTAATGCACTTAGTGGGAACACACACAATCAACTGTGTAAAATTGCTTTCTAAAAATCAACTTCTATAAATTCAACCTCATTTCGTAGTGTAGACATACCCCTAGAGTGACTGTTGTCTGTCTTCCTGTTACCCTTCCCAGCCGCCTAGTCTGTTGGTCCACTATCTGACTTTCTAGGTCCCGCCTGTTCCTGCGCAAGTGAGCCTTGTTCCAACGAGCTGCCTCCTCCCTAAAACTCTCCTATTTGCAGCCTAATTAGCTGAATGGGCTCACCCTGCCAACCCAACTCTTACAGAGCTAGTGTGAGGAACTCACCCCATCCCAGCCGCTTTCTACATTTTATACTAGTGTTGATAGTTAAGATTTAGCTTCCTATAGCCCAATGTGGGACCTTTTGAAGTCAATGGAAGTTTTGCCATTGGCTCAAATGGGAACAAGCTCAGTGCATTAAGTAAAATTGTCCCATATATCAGCTCTGATGTATTGCAGTGAGTAATTTAGGAAATAGGTGGTTCCCATCTTTTTCAGACCAACCTATTGTCCTGATGCCATGGACCCAGTTATTGCTCTTTTAAATTGGTGTTTATCTATTATTCTATCGTATGAATGGCAATGGGTAACTTTGATAGAAAGAAGAGATATTTTCAAAGTATTTATAAAATAAATTTAAAGACAATTTCCAGTTAAACAAAACAATATTCTTTTCCGTATGTATAATAGCTAGTAAAATGCTTTCACTAATGCTTGAGACAAACAAAAAGTAACATTAACGGGAAAGAAATTTGTTAAAGCAACAAGTGTTCAATGCACAGGTAATGAAGTGTGGGCAGATGGTAGAAGTCCCAAATTGCACAGCGGAATGTACATGGTCAAAGGAGCAAGATGGCTAGAGCAAATCCACAAAAGAAACTTAGAACAAGTTTAATATATTCAAAAGGTAGCTTTCAGATGGAAGAATTCATCAGAAAGAATATAAAATACAGGTACTCAGGTGTTAGTGAACTATATAGATACAAAATTATGTATTTCTAGCTCCACTGTTGTGTGTAAATTGAGTAGAACTATTAACTACTTCAGTTAATGATGGTCTTTCCTTTAACTATATCCTTTACCATTTTAGTATTATATATTTGGATAATTTAATATATCTATAAGGAGTACTGGTGGCACCTTAGAGACTAACCAATTTATTTGAGCTCAAATAAATTGGCTAGTCTCTAAGGTGCCACCAGTACTCCTTTTCTTTTTGCAAATACAGACTAACTCAGCTGCTACTCTGAAACCTGTTAATATATCTATGTACACAAACACACTATTTGTTCTGTGTATCAAGTTTGATGGTTTGTTTTGACACAAACAGTCCTGTTTTAATATAATGGAAACTGTTTTATAATATGATGTAAGAATATCTTTGCCTCTAATGATTATTTACCTAATTAAGGGTATATGGAATTAATTTACTCAGACTGCAATTGATGCAGGTTACAGAAACTTTGATTGATAGAAATAGATGCAGCTAGACTTTGGTTTTAAAATATCATTGATGTTTTGGATAGTATGTGGTTGTACGGCCAGACATTTTACAGTTTTTTATGGATAAGGTATTCAAGCTTTTAAGTAGAGGGGCTTGTGAAGTGGCAAAATTAAGTTGGTTTGTGTACTGATCACTAAGTTTTCTGTTTAATGGTGTATCTGGATACTCACATATGCATGTGCGATTTCGAGGTTAGGCTAGTGCCAGAATTTATGTAATCTTTGTATGTTTTTCCATTATTTTTAATGTTTGTGTTTTGTTTCTTAATGGCTGTGTTTAATGGGACCTCTCAAATGGCCCTTAGTAAATTTAGCTGTAAAGTAACAAAGTTTTTGTTTTGAAAATTCCTTTGTTTTACGGAAATAGCTAATTTAATATGATGCCAGACTTCTGTTGTTTCATGTGAAAAACTGTCCAGAAGAAGCTTGAGCATTGGTTAGAGCTGTGTCAGGTATGCAAAGTTTTGCCCTCCAGAATAATAAATAATAATTAAAAAAATACCAACTTACATACTGCTTTTTGTCAGTAGATCTCAAAGCACTTTACAAAGTAGCTAGGATTGTTTAACCAGATACCTGCTGGCTCTAATCTGCTTTGCCTACTAGTGGCTTGAAGAAGTTGAAATAGCAGCCAAAGGTAATGCAGTGTAGGGGTATTCTGGCCATGCTTTTTTCCCCTCTAGCCCCATTCCCTATGCCAGTAACAAGAAGGGCAATGATTTAAGGAGTTTCTATGATGGCTGCACTCTATTTGAACATATGTTTTGTACTTGGGTGATCCTTCTGGTGCTGGGCATGCTTCCTTTATAGCCAAAAACCACTGGCAGTGTAGCCCAGAGCGGCTGTACTGCAGTCCAGCAGCTGACACTTCTGTATTAGCATTTTTAGAAAATGTTTCAGTTTTACCCCATTTGTTCATTTCTAACTAATTTCCTACACCCACACTTTGCTTATATGATGAACTGTTCATTTGTAGTGAACTGACAATCAAAAGATGTAATGACTAGAATTAAGACAAACAAAATTATAATATAATTATATTATGATAGATATTTACCTATTGGTCACAACTGTATGTCCACTAATGTCAATATGTTATTAATGTATTAATGATGGTGGGTTCTGAATTACATGTAACTACTACAGCTAGCATGTACATTAAAGAGCCAGACTCTGCTTCCCATATTGTATACAGCTGCCACCAACATCAGTGGAAGTTGTGTATGCATATCTGAAGGCCAAATTTGGTCCCTGAAGTCTCAGCTCAAGCAAAAACAAGTAATCAGCACTATATATATTAAGTTCATTTTAACTTTTAGCTATAATATATGGGACCTGCCCAATCCTTGGTAAATATTGTTTCAAAATAAGTTCCAAAGAATATTTTCCCAGGTTTTTGCTATTATTCTTTGTGAAGAGAACATATAGAACATGTAACATTGTTATATCATCTTCTCAGAACAGAAAGTTGGAAATCAAACTTTTATTGCTCTCACTGAAGTAAAATGCATACATTAACCTCCCCGGTATATAAGAGGAGCTGTTTAAGAGCTACAGGTAATAACTTGCTTCACTGTTTGATGAATAACTGTAGGTTATAACTGAAGCCTAAACTTTCTGTGTTTCCCTAAAAAAATTAGGGAAATAGTCCAATCAGTAAAAATGTACCCATCAGTCTCTGGATTAATGATTTTTCTCTAGTATTGGGAAAAAGCATACAGTAATTAAGATCTCTTCTGCATTTTTGATGTGAAACACATTCAAACAAGAACAGCAGCACAAGTCTGGAAGAAAATGCCTGTCCTCCTTGCTCCCAAAAAGAAAGAAAGGTTTACTTCAAAGCTGTCCTTGTTAGCTGTTCAGAGTGGCAACACACATTATTTTTGCATTCCTGTGGGCTACAGCAAATTGTCTCTCTTGACTGCCATTGTTTCCTATGGAAGCATAATGGTTTCCATTTATCACAAGCTGACACCATATGGTGTGTGAAATCATACTCCACACTGCAGCATCCAAGGAGAATTAGCATGTCACAAGTATATATGTTAAAAAAACAGCAATCAGCAATAAAACCAAACACTATAACTGGTGTTTCTATTACTGAAAAAAAAGTACATACTCAAGAATCATAATCACTTCCAGACCCGAAAGTGTTAATTAACTCAAAGTCAGACTTAGTACAGAATATATATGATCAAGATGATTGTGTTCAGCCTAACAAGGAAATCAATTCCACCTTAAAAAAAAAACAAACCCACCCCATAATTCTTATAGGTATATAGTTTTCGACAAACATCAAAGTACAGTGCAGCTGTTGTTTTGTCAAAGGAGTACTGTGTTCTCGCTGACACCAGTGAATTGTTAGCTTGTGTTTAGTATTATTGATATTAGACCAAGCAAATGCATGAGCTTGCACAGTGATTCCAGGCTCTCTTCATTTTAGTGACTGATGGTGATCTCAGTGATTCATATGTTTTTATGTGTGGGAGGTAACCTATTCAGAGATTTATCCAGAGGACCTTTCATTGCTGGACATAAAGACTCTTCCTCAGCAGGACGGATAACATCCACCTCAGTTGCCTGAGAAATGTCTGAACTCTTCTGTCCTCTTACAGGGATTCTGGGATATGCCTTGGCTGCTTCTCGGACGTCTGGTTTTGATAAGTGAGTTTCACAGCCTAATGTCTCCTGGGAATTGTGCAGGCAGAGAGTGGGTGAGGTCATTTGGCTTTCCACTGAGTTTCCTTTCTCTGTTTTTGCCTGTTCCAGTGAGCATGACCCTCTAGCACTCAGGAATACTTCTGTTCCCTGAGGAACTACTGGCCCACTCACTGGTTTTATCTCTGTCCACACAAAAGCTCCATGTCGCTGGAAAGGGAAACAAGGGTGACGTTAACCAGGGGAGCATAAGCAGTTAGTAAATGCAGCTGTGATCTGAGCTCATTTATTAGCTCAAGGGCTGGCAAAACATCCACTTGTTTCTTGGTCTCTCTACTGGCCATCAGCCTAGGCCCCCTCCCAATAGCTGCAGGCAATGGAATACTGTCTGGCCATCAGCCTAGGCCCCCTCCCAATAGCTACAGGCAATGGAATACTGTCTGGCCATCAGCCTAGGCCCCCTCCCAATAGCTACAGGCAATGGAATACTGTCTGGCCATCAGCCTAGGCCCCCTCCCAATAGCTACAGGGAATGGAAACTGTCTGGCCACAGCCTAGGCCCCCTCCCAATCAGCCAAACAGGCAATGGAATACTGTCTGGCCACCAGCCTAGGCCCCCTCCCAATAGCTACAGGCAATGGAATACTGTCTGGCCATCAGCCTAGGCCCCCTCCCAATAGCTACAGGCAATGGAATACTGTCTGGCCATCAGCCTAGGCCCCCTCCCAATAGCTACAGGCAATGGAATACTGTCTGGCCATCAGCCTAGGCCCCCTCCCAATAGCTACAGGCAATGGAATACTGTCTGGCCATCAGCCTAGGCCCCCTCCCAATAGCTACAGGCAATGGAATACTGTCTGGCCATCAGCCTAGGCCCCCTCCCAATAGCTACAGGCAATGGAATACTGTCTGGCCATCAGCCTAGGCCCCCTCCCAATAGCTACAGGCAATGGAATACTGTCTGGCCTGTTAGCCTTTCTTATCCATGAAATGGGGCACAGCAGGAAAACTTGGAGAGAAACAACAAATAAAAGAAAAAATGCATCTTATTTTCTCTGGTTCACAACCATTCTGTCACCCTGAGTGTGTGACTTGCATATGGCTCTCCTGTGTAAGTCTAATCATATCAGATTTTATTTCTTGCTACATGGGTTGCTATGGATACAATTCTAAACTGCTGCTTTTGTAGGCCAGGAGATTTATGACTGCAACCCAAACAACTTTGTCCATTAGGGTCACACAGAAAGGTTCTCTTTTTTATAAACAGAAGTGGGAACAAACAATATGTTTCCAAGAATGGAATTCTGTATTTTGGGCCTGATTCAAAGCCTACCGGAGTCAATGGAAGTCTTTCCACTGATTTCAATTGCTTTTGGATCAGGCCCCTACACAGTTAATTATTGATTTGTAAGAAACACACACAAAAAACTTGTAGGCAACAAAGACTGACAAAACTTTTGGATATTTACTTATGGAATGGCTTCAAAATACACATTGGGCCTGGTTTCGATCCCACATTATTTTTACTCCACTGACCTCAGATGTAAGTGAGAGCAGACATAGACCTACTGGAAATCCAAACTGTGTCATATATCATTAGGGCATTTATCTATTATTATAGGTGCTGGAAACCACGGTGTTATGATGCACATAAACACAGAATGAAATGTTTAAGTTATATTAAAAAGTGTCATTAATATTAAGTCCTGGCAATTCTAAAGCGTGTAACAGTATTTCTTACTTTTAAAACAGTTAGTCGGAAGTTCGTGAATAAACTTACTCCTCCAGCTTCCTGCATGCTATTAATCATACAGGATGCACATTGTCTTACCTTTCCTCGGATGGGTTCATTAGGAGATTTTCTGGCATTGTACTGATGAATAAAGGAGGTCCGCTCCTGTAAAATTGTTGGAAGACTTGTTGATGTTCTAGGAGTTGCAAGTGGAACTGGGGAAAAAAACCCAATATTGTTGTAAAGTCAGGGCAAAGATGTATTGTGTGGCCTCATGTTGTACAGCACAGAATCACTGTTTAACAGCACTCACAAGTGTACTAGATGTTGCACAGAAACACAAAAGAAAAAAAAGACAGATGCCTGTCCTGAATTGCTTAAAAAATAAGCGATGGGCTTGACAGACAAGTGAAGATGTAACATATACCAGGAAAGGGAGGGGCAAAGAGGGACATGGATCAGCTACATGACTGTATGGACACTCAGTTTTACATGCATACATACATCATGTTGATTCAAAGGCTTTTTGGAGTGGAAACGAACTCATTCTTCATACGCAATTCTGCATAAGTATTTTGGTTTTTAAATGAGTGATTTGGATGAGGAGACAATGGAAGCCAGACAAATAGAAATTGGAAGGGCATTCTGAGTATAAGAATTATTAAAATGAGATATTGAAAACGCCTGTTAGATCATCTAGTACATACAGGACTATTCCTGACAATACAGTTCCGAGCACTTAACTTCACTTGGGACTTTTTAACATTATATCCTTCTGTATCACAAGAACAATCTTGGGCACATTGCAACTGGCTTGCCTGTGGGTGGGTGTCAGGAGTGAATGCAAAGAAGCCTTCCTCCCCTTGTGAGTCCCCATAAGGGGGTGAAAAAATGGACCTGCCCCTCTTCACGCTGAAGCACAGAGTGGGCCTGGCACATCCAGGAAGCAGGCAGCACTTTCTAAAAAAATGGTGCATGGTGTAAACTCGTCCTATGCACCAGAGTAGCAAGACCAGATCTCACACAGATCTCAGGGTAGCTGTTTAGACACTTGCCCATAATTTGATATATTGCCATTTAATTTTACTCTTTATTTAAAATCTTTTAGCCAGTTTTCAATCCAGACGACAGTTTTCTGTCCAAGCTAATTGGAATAAATTTTGCAGTTACTACTTCATGACACAGACTAAAATGCTATACTGAAATATGCTGCATATGTACAGTATAAATACATAATTTTAAAGCATAATTCAATTAAACACACCCTACATTTTCAAATAGGACTACTGATTTTGAGTGCCCAACTTGATATACTTTAAAGGGGCCTGATTTTCTGGGAACAAATGCTTCATGCTTTCTGCAAATCAGGCTCCTTAAAGGTATCCCAAACTGGGCACCCAAAATCACTAGTCACCTTTGAAAAATGTAGGCCACATGTGCTTTCATTTGCACAGTGTTAACAGATCTAAACTGCTGCAGCAGTTAGGACACACATTTTGAAAATAAACACTGAATATGGGATCAGAACTGAAATCTTATGTTTACAATAAAGACCTTTATCATGTGACTTGAACCATATGGGCAGATATGAACTTCACTACAGTATCAAGGCCTAAATTTGGTGGAAATTCAATTATTCTTAAAGGGTATAAGTTAAAAATGATTTTATTCTTTGTGTTAAGAAAAATTTAAAGACAACTGGTTAATTGGCCCTACCTATCGATAACTTAGCTCTTCTACAGTACTTTTTGCTTCATGATCTCAAATAGCTTTGCAAAGGAAGGTGTGGATCATTATCAACATTTTACAGATGAGGAAACTGAGGCAGAGTGGTGAGCTGACTAAGATCTTTGTTGCACATCAAGTCAGTGGAGAGCTGGGAACAGAACCCAATATTTTCCCATTGTGCCAAGATGTTTAAAGTTGCTAATGTTCCACCTATTTCATCCAGTTTTTACTTGGATATACTCATAAGAGAGCACAGCACATATGGAGGATATTTTAAAAATATTTTAAATTCATAACTGTATGATAAAACAGAATGATACAGAAGTTTCACAACAATAAGGGGCCTGATCAACTCCTTCTAACACCAATCGGAAGACTCCCATGGACTTTGGAGGGAGCTGGATTGGGCCTTTAATCATTAAAAGGAAAACAGTAAAGAGGGCAGGCAAGGAATAAAGGGGGCAATGGGGGCTGAACGATCCTCTCCGCCCTAGAGATGGTCCCTTCTCATCATTGCCCAAGCACACTAGCAGGGAAGTGTGAACAAGTTTATGCTTATGTTGCCCATGCTGTGTCTGTTCTGGGGATAAACGGAGAAATTGAGTCTCCAATGCTGTCAGCAGGGCACTGGTCATGAGCACTAAAACTCACATAAATACACTGAGGAAATTGTACCAAAAAAATGTCAGTACACCAATGAATACATCAATACATTCACCCTAACTCAGAGTACATGAGCACAGTGTACAAACAGTGTTCATGGGCACCATACAGAGACAAAGGGCAAATCAGGCACAAAGATGATAACTTACTGTCTTTTGGTAGAATCATATTTGAGGAAACAAGATAAATCACTGAGTAGACATGGAAACAGAAGTCAATAATGTGTTCTGCAAGATCAGCGTAAGGTGGATTTTGAGTCTATGTTTAAGTGCTTTGATGCCAGATACATCAAGTTTAGATGAATATGCAGATCACTTTGTAAAATTAATCTTCCAGTCTTTTTGCAAGTTGCAAACTCTTTCAACTGGTTTTTAGTTACCGGAGGTCTAGGATCCAGCTAGCATTTAGCAGTACATTGTTCTAGCACAAGCTAAAAGTATTACATTTTGCTGATATGTTAAAAGTGGCAAGTTAGCACTCAAAAGATTCTGAAGAGGCATCAATTGCACTATTTGAGGGAGCAGTTTCCAGTGATTAAAACTCAGGACTGGGAGTCTTGCTTGGTTGCTGCTTTGCTATGTGACTTTGCGTAGGATAGGTAACCTATTGTGCCTCAGTTTCCCTATCCACAAAGGGGGAGTAATGATACCTACCTTCCCTACAGAAATGTTGTAAAGCTTTGTGAATTGTCGTGGTTGTAAGGCGCATAGAAGGTTTTGGGTGAAAAGAGCTATAGAAATATGACCATTATTTTTCTGATACATTTCACTTAAGAAGCCTGGAAACGTTACCTTAGGAAAATTGCAAAAATATGCATTGAATTGTCCGTAATATATTTGTGGGGCATGTAGTGGTGTTGCAGTCGTCTCTCCCCTTCTGAGTCAGAGGGAGGCCACACTGCCTCACTATACCGTCATGATTGCTGCCTAGTATCAGTGGAAATTGGCAGACCAGGAGTTAGAATCCTGACTGATCTAGTGGGGCTGAACCCCAAATAGTCTATAGGCTCTGGGCCCTTAGGCAGGGGCAGAGTAAACACCAACAGTCTATAGGCTCTGGGCCCTTAGGCAGGGGCAGAGCAAACACCAGTCTATGGGCTCCAGCCCTCAAGCAGGGTAGAGCTAGCAAGTAGCCTGTCATCCTAGTTCTGGCAGATGGTAGGCTAACACCAGCCACCTGGCCTACAGTGGGGAAGCTGCCACCCCAAGGGGTTCCTCTGCAAGCAGGGCATCTCTGGGCTCAGCAGCAAAGTCAGCAGCCTGAAGCAAGCAGGATGCATCTATCTCCCTCACTCTTCCAGACCCAACTGAGTTAGAGGCTCCGCCTTTTATACTTCCTGTCCCGCCTATCCACTCCCAGTGGGAGGGATGAGGCAGGTCTGGCTCCACCCACCTGGGCACAGAGGGTGGTTCCTCCCCTTCTGGGTCAGAGAGAGCCCACGCCTCACTACAGGCACCACAGATACATTTGTAGCTATCCTCAGATCCCATAATTTTAAAATTGACTGGGGCACATTACAAGCTGTTATGCTATTTTCTGTGCAGTGCACCAGCAATCTGTTCAGTAAAGAATATGGGTATGAACTGCATATCTAGCTTCCACTTTCAGTGCTTCGTAACTGGATCTGGGAATTCTATGAATGAAGATTTTATGGTAAGACTGAAAAATAAACTTATATAAAGAATTACATTAGTTCATGAGTTTTTTACTAGAATATAAAATAGCAGAAGCATATTCATACCAAATGTGCTAGAAGCTGTGAATAACAACATTTTTAATTCTGTAGATTGTATTGTTGTTACAACTGAGGAAAGGTTATATTAGTTCCCTGTAGAATTTCTTGCAAAGAAAAAAAAATATTCTCTCAATGTTTAATTTCTGGTCAATTAAATATGGATGGAATATTTTTCTTGGAACCCTGAAGAGTGGCATTTTCTAGTGATAAGGTAGAATCTGAATTGGCCAAATAATTATAATGAATATCTCCACTGATTTTTTTTCTTGTCAATCCTCAAATAAATTGGTGAACATTTTTCTCAGTACTTGACCGCCTCTATAAGTGATCAATAATGTTTGTCAAATATTCACAAATTATTTCTGTAAATTGATGAATTATTCACAAATAATTTGGTTCAGCATAATAAGTAAATAAATTCAAGACAGTAATATTAGTTCATGCGTTTTTTCATGGAATATTAGATAACAGAAGAACACTCATAATAAATTATATAATATTCCAGTAGAAAACTCAATAAAAACAACAAGGAGTCCAGTGGCACCTTAAAGACTAACAGATTTATTGGAGCATAAGCTTTCGTGGGTAAAAACCTCACTTCTTCAGATGCAACTCTTTTTTTGTGGATACAGACCAGCACGGCTACCCCCTGATACTTCAATATAATAATAATCCCATTTTTTGTCTTCATGTGACAGAAGAGAAGAGAACCAAACTTAAGACTCGCTTGTAATTTAGCAGCATGTAACCTGATCCCACAAACACAGATATGCTTAACTTTAAGCAGGTAAGTAGTTCTTTTGCATGTTTGTAAGCGGGATAAGGGCCATGATGATGACTATAGTATTTCTGTAAGGTGGTCAGATACTGCCCTGGTAAAATGCCTCAACAAAGTTTTAGAATACTAAACCACCTACTTTTTTGGGTTTGTGAGCTATCCTAATATAACATGCCTGACAGTCATTTGATGGAGTCTTTGAGCCAGATCCCCAGCAAGTGTAAATAGGTGTACACAAAACTCACGAATAGGACAAATTAGCTCCAAAGTTATAAATTACAGCCAAAATCACTGTCGTCAACTACCTTAGCTGCTGAAATGGCTGTAGGGGGCGGTGTAAGAGGGAGGATCCTTTCAAGTCTTGACAGGCAACAGTCAGTGCAATTATGTAGCACATAGGAATACACTAGCTTTTTTATTATTATTCTTTTAGGTGGAAAAACTGAGATACACATAAAAATCCCCCACTATTTTTTATCTCTGTAAAGTCAAACAGAAAGGAACCGTACATTACTTCCCAGAGAATATCTCAGCATTTATAACCTTTTAAGGAATTGAGCCATTTAAGACACCAATTCCAAGGTATAATCTTCCATCACTTACAGAAGCCTGAATGCCAAAAGACAACTGGCTCAACCTCAAAACGGCAAACATGCCAAAGCATGGAAACCATCACTTTCCTTATTAATGGAATGGCAGGAAGTGAAATGAGATGATCTGGGTTTGTGAGCAATATCTCCACAATCAATCATCCAAAATAAACTGCTTCATTATTTGTATTTCAATATACCGGAGGAGTATGCTGAAGGCAGAACTCTAGATCCACCTATGGGGAGAAACAGAGGTACTGACACTCCCCAGGAAGGAGAGAGTTTTCTGCCAGCACTGGCTCTTCAGGCCACATTAAATGCCCTACCTCACCTGACCCTCTCTCTAGCAGAAGATTGCATTCCATGCACCAGCTCCGATGGTGCTCTGCTGTTTAATACAACAACCTCAGTAGTGACAGGTTTCAGAGTAGCAGCCGTGTTAGTCTGTAGCCGCAAAAAGAAAAGGAGGACTTGTGGCACCTTAGAGACGAACAAATTTATTTGAGCATAAGCTTTCGTAAGCTACAGCTCACTGTATTTTCTACTGCATGCATCTGATGAAGTGAGTTGTAGCTCACGAAAGCTTATGCTTAAATAAATTTGTTCATCTCTAAGGTGCCACAAGTACTCCTTTTCTTTTTTCAGTAGTGACAGTGGCTGAAGTGTTGGCTTCCCATCCTGCTCTTTGAGGGTTACACAGTGAGGCTCTGCCAGCTGCTTTTCAAAGTTGGGACTAAAGGGAGCACTTTGACAAGTGAAGGGGGGTAGGAGAGAAAGTTCAATAATAAATATTGGGGCCAAGCCTCCACTCTGTGACACTGGTGCGATGGCAGTGTTACTCCATTGGCTTTAATGAATTTACACTGATATAAAACCTGTGTAATGGACTAGAGAATCAGCAAACCTTCTATTGTTAAAGCATTGCTAATACAGACATCCTTGTGTTTAGTCTGTATATAAAAGGAAGGACAAATCCTTGTGATAAAAAGACAGGGAAATCTGATTTTTTAAAATTGTTTAACTCAAACATGATGCTCAGCACTATAGTACAAGAAACAAAGGCAGCCTTTACCCCAAAAAGTTTACAGTGTAAAAGAGAAGACTTGTAGTGCCTGGTTCTGAACCCATTCACACCAGTAGTAACTCTGTTGCATTCAGTGGAGTTATTCTTGATCGACAGTGGTGTGAGCTCAGAACTGGGCCCATGCAAGATAAGAGATGAAAGCCTGACTCTACTGAGGTCAAGGAGTGTTTTTCCATTGATTTCAATAGGGCCTCAATTTCACTCAGGAAGTACCGTGAAATCCAATTGTGGGGATGGCTCAGTATTTTGTTTTGTTTCAAATTCTAAATTCACTTCTTGTGAGCCTCACAGAAGTGAGTTTTTCATTTGACTGAAGACAAGGTAGAAGCATAGCCCAGCAGTAATGGCAGACAGAGCAGTATGGCAGACAGCGCAACAAACAGTCATGCAATAAAGGATGACTTTCCATGGGACTTAGGCTACCGAATGCCTAAGCCACTTTTGAAAGTGGGGGACTTTTGCTCTTCAGTCACTTTTAGGTGCTTCTGAAAAAGTTAATGTTACCCAAAATCTACTACCTCAAGACTTTGTACTATATTCACTCACTAAGGCCTTGTCTATACTAAAGTTTAGTCGACAAAAGCTGCCTTTTGTCGACAAAACAGTGAAGGTGTACACCCTCCAATGTGACTTTGGTCAGCAAAATACCCTGTTTTGGTGACAAAATACAACCATCCCAACAAGAGACATAAGTCTTTTTCCTCTAAATTTTTGTCAACAAAGTGCCAGTGTAGACACCACGCTTGATTTCATCGCTTTAATTCGCTTTCAGGAGGTGTCCCACAATATCCATCGTGACTGCTCTGGTCAGCAATTTGAACTCCGCTGCCCTGCAGCCAAGTAAACGGCCATCCACCCCTCCCCCTTAGAAGCCCTGGGGATTTTTGAAATTCTATTTCCTGTTGGCTCGGCATGGAGAGGTCTTCCCAGGTGACCACGACAGATTATAGCAGCAAACGCTCTCCTGCTTGGACCACTACAGAGCTGTTGGATCCGCTCAGTATATGGAGAGGAGGCTGGTCAGTCACAGCTGCGCTTGAGCCATAGGATTTGGGATACCTACGGGCACATTTCCCAAGGCTTGTGCGAGGGCTATGATCGGGACACGCTGCAGTACACAGTGAAGATAAAGGAGCTCAGGCAGGCGTACCATAAGGTAAGGGAGGCAAACCGTCACTTTGGTGCTGCAGCTAAGATCGACCAGTTCTATAAGGAGAAATGGCGATGGAGGTGGGGTCGCCACCTTATCCTTTGTGGCAACCCCACCTCCATCGCCAAGAGCCCCGTGGATACTTTGGAAGGCCCGAAAGTGGTGGAAAGAGGACCTAACCCAGGGACGAAGTAACTGATGAAGAAGTGGAGTTAGAGGACGATGTGCAGCTCCCAGCGGGGTCACCTGGTGGGGCAGGCAGCCAGGAACTGTTCTCCACTCCAGAGGTGTCTAGCCAGTCTCAGGAGTTGCTCTCCAATGAGCAAAAAGCAGAAGATGAGACTCCTGGTAAGTGGATGTGGCTTGTGTAGTGCGGAGGTGGGTTCAGGACATAGAAATATGGGATGCTGGCTGTGTTTCTGTGAGCTGGATATTTCCCTGTGTAGCTAATTGGTACGGCAGAACAGGGTGTTGATGCATGCCGAGATCTCACAGGAATCCTCCAGAGAGATCTCCAGGAAAGTTTCCTGGAGGTACTCGGTAATCCTCTGCCGCAGGTTCCATGGCAGAGCAGTTTGTTCCTTCCCCCATTGTAGGAAACTTTCCTGTGCCATTCAGCAATCACTTCTACAGGGACCAAAGAGGCACACAGGAGTGCAGCATAGGGAGCAGAGCGGAAGCCACAAGCATGGAGTAGATGTACTCTGGTTTCCCTGCTTACCCTTAGCAGTGAGATATCTGCTAGAATGACCCCCACCTGGGGAAAAGTGTGGGAGAACTTTAGAATTTTTTCCTTGATCAGCTGTACCACAATCATAGAATCATAGAATATCAGGGTTGGAAGGGACCCCAGAAGGTCATCTAGTCCAACCCCCTGCTCGAAGCAGGACCAATTCCCAGTTAAATCATCCCAGCCAGGGCTTTGTCAAGCCTGACCTTAAAAACCTCTAAGGAAGGAGATTCTACCACCTCCCTAGGTAACGCATCCCAGTGTTTCACCACCCTCTTAGTGAAAAAGTTTTTCCTAATATCCAATCTAAACCTCCCCCACTGCAACTTGAGACCATAACTCCTCGTTCTGTCATCTGCTACCATTGAGAACAGTCTAGAGCCATCCTCTTTGGAACCCCCTTTCAGGTAGTTGAAAGCAGCTATCAAATCCCCCCTCATTCTTCTCTTCTGCAGGCTAAACAATCCCAGCTCCCTCAGCCTCTCCTCATAAGTCATGTGTTCTAGACCCCTAATCATTTTTGTTGCCCTTCGCTGGACTCTCTCCAATTTATCCACATCCTTCTTGTAGTGTGGGGCCCAAAACTGGACACAGTACTCCAGATGAGGCCTCACCAATGTCGAATAGAGGGGAACGATCACATCCCTTGATCTGCTCGCTATGCCCCTACTTATACATCCCAAAATGCTATTGGCCTTCTTGGCAACAAGGGCACACTGCTGACTCATATCCAGCTTCTTGTCCACTGTCACCCCTAGGTCCTTTTCCGCAGAACTGCTGCCTAGCCATTCGGTCCCTAGTCTGTAGCGGTGCATTGGATTCTTCCATCCTAAGTGCAGGACCCTGCACTTATCCTTATTGAACCTCATCAGATTTCTTTTGGCCCAATCCTCCAATTTGTCTAGGTCCTTCTGTATCCTATCCCTCCCCTCCAGCGTATCTACCACTCCTCCCAGTTTAGTATCATCCGCAAATTTGCTGAGAGTGCAATCCACACCATCCTCCAGATCATTTATGAAGATATTGAACAAAACCGGCCCCAGGACCAACCCTTGGGGCACTCCACTTGATACCGGCTGCCAACTAGACATGGAGCCATTGATCACTACCCGTTGAGCCCGACAATCTAGCCAGCTTTCTACCCACCTTATAGTGCATTCTTCCAGCCCATACTTCCTTAACTTGCTGACAAGAATACTGTGGGAGACCGTGTCAAAAGCTTTGCTAAAGTCAAGAAACAATACATCCACTGCTTTCCCTTCATCCACAGAACCAGTAATCTCATCATAAAAGGCGATTAGATTAGTCAGGCATGACCTTCCCTTGGTGAATCCATGCTGGCTGTTCCTGATCACTTTCCTCTCATGCAAGTGCTTCAGGATTGATTCTTTGAGGACCTGCTCCATGATTTTTCCAGGGACTGAGGTGAGGCTGACTGGCCTGTAGTTCCCAGGATCCTCCTTCTTCCCTTTTTTAAAGATCCTTGCAGAGTGCATGTTCTTTTCCCCATGTGGAGCTCCCTCACTCACCCAGCAACACTCACCATGCTTTGGGTGTTTGCAGAGATGTGTGCTTGCCAAAGGTCAGTGAGAAAGTGATTATTATGTTGCCAAAGGTGTATTTAACTGAAATGTTTCAAAGCTGTGCGTGAATTTAACAATCCTGCTTCTGTGCATTGTCCCTTGTGCTTTGGCAGATGTGGCCTTCAGGACACTCCCCACACATTAGCCACGCATTTCTGCCAGATAAAAAGGCGCCCACAACGCAGCAAAGATGACATGTTCCGGGAGGTACTGCTCTGCTCCAATGCAGAGAAAAGGGAACACGGGAGTGCTGGGAAACTGAACGGCAGGACAGAAAAGAGAATCAGGAGTTTGTTAAGGATGCTACGGAGCGGATGATTAAATTAACAGAGGAGTAAATGCAGATGCTGAAGTCCTCCCCTGCAGCACATTCAGAACTCTTTTCCATGCCACCCTCACCCCCCAAACTCTGTCTGCAAATTCCTTTCTACTTTCTGGGACTTCTTGGTTTCCCCTTCACTCCACTCAGACAACTTTCACAATGATAGCTGGATCTACATACAGCTCTGAAAGTCTGCCCTTCCCTGGTTCCTTCTTTCCCACCAAGCATCTTTGTGTGTGTGTGTGCGCGCACGTGCTGGTTTTTGTGCAATAAAAGCAAAGTTTTTGAATGGTAACTCATCTTTATTTGTTTTGTACAAATTGAGATAGCAGGCACTATCAATATATACTCAGGCAGTTTATTCATGTGCTTGCTGGAATGTAAGGCCCAAATGTCACCATTACTTCCTAGGAAAACTACATGTAATGTAACATTGCAGCACCAATCAGAGAGATATATATTACTGCTTCTCATTTTCAAAGTGTTGCCTCAAAGCCTCCCTGATTTGAATTGTCCCCCTCTGGGCTCCTCTAGCTATCTAGTATCTGGCTGTTCAAAATCAGCAGCCAAGCAGTCTGCCTCAACACTCCACCCCTGAGCAAACCTTTCACCCTTAGCTTCACAGAGATTATACAACATACTACACGTGGCTATGACACTGGGAATATTATCCTCATTAAAGTCTAACCTGCCATAAAGGCATCGCCAGCGCGGCTTTAATCTGCCAAAGGAACATTCAGCTGTCATCAGGCACCTACTCAGTCTGTTGCTGAACCACTCCTTACTGCTGTCCAGATTTCCCGTGTAAGGTTTCATAAACCACGGCTGTAAAGGATATACCAGGTCTCCCAGGATTACTATGTGCGTTTCAACATCCCCCACTAATCTTCTGGTTTGGAGAAAAAGTCCCCGCTTATAGCTTTCTATACAGGCCAGTGTTCCCAAAGATGCATGCATCATGCACCTTCCCGGACCACCCCATGCTGATGTCAGTGAAACACGCATAGTGATCCACAAGTGCCTGCAACTCCATGGAGAAGTACCCCTTCCTATTGATGTATTCCAACGCAAGGTGATCTGGTGCCAAAATTGGAATGTGTTTGCCATCTATCACCCCTCCACAGTTAGGAAAATCCATTTCTGCAAATTTGTTCACTATTTCATGCACATTTCCCACAGTCAAAGTCCTTCGTAGCAGGATGTAATTTATTGCCCTGCACACTTGCATTAACACAGCCTCAACGGTCAACTTCCCAACTCCAAATTGATTCTCCACTGATCAGTAGCCGTCTGGAGTTGCCAGCTTCCACACAGCGATTGCCACACACTTCTCTACTGATAGGATGGAGCTCTCATTATAACGTCCTTGCGCCACAGTGCTGGGGCGAGCTCTGCACACTGTTCCAGGAAGGTGGCTTTCTGCATCTGAAAGTTCTGTAGCCATTGCTCATCATCCCACACCTGCATGACAATACGATCCCATCATTCAGTGCTCGTTTCCTGAGCCCAAAAGCAAAGGTCTACCCTATCCAGCTGTTCTCTGAATACCAAAAGCAATCTAAAGTTCTTCCTATCCATATCACGCAGCATGTCAGGCGACTGGGAGTCTTTTTAAAGTTAGGAACTTTATGATTAACCATCCACAATGTCTTCATGACAGTTAACAGAGCACAGGAGAGCAGTGTGGGATCCATCCTTTCTCACAAAGATGCCGGGGTGCACAGCAAAGAAGGGCAGTTGAAAAATGCCACAAAATGCTGGAAGCCCATGGAGTGCTGGGACAGAAAGCAGTGCATCATGGAACATTGAGTCCTGTCCCAAGATGTGCTGTAGGAAGGCAGAGCGGATCGCAACACCTAGCGACAGAAGGTGTCAAGCTGGACTGCGGGATAGGTACCCACAGTGAATTGCACACACTGTCAATGATAGTGCTCCAACTGTGGATGCCCTCTGCCAACAGAAGGAGTGTGAACATGACATTTCGATTTTTGAGTGTCGACATAACGTTTGTTGACAAAACTTGGTAGTGCAGACAAGGTCTAACACACAACTATTGAATTCATTTTTGCTCTTTCTAAAATTTTGAAAAGTAGAACATAATGAGGGGAGGAGGAGGGGGAACACTTAGCACCAACTGAAACAATGGCAAGAACACCAACAAGGGTGGACTGGGATTCAGGAGACCTTGGCTCCATTCCCAGCTCTGCCACACACTTTCTGTGAGATCATGGGCAAGTCACTTAGGTGCCTAAATACTTTTGTAAATCTGGTCCTAATGAAACAGATATGCACCTAGTGGAATTTAAAAAAAAGGTATCTGAGCAGGTTAGGTCCTTCATCCTATGTCTTTCAATGGGAGTTAGGCCCTACCCTGCTTAGGTGCTTCTGTAAATCCCACTAGGCATCTATATGGATCTTTATGTGCCTAAATACCATTGTAAATCTGTCCCTTCATCTCTTGTTTCAGTTCCCTATGTGTAAAATAGGGAAAACAGTACTTCCTTGGTCTTATCTATTTAGACTGCAAACTCTTTTAAGGCAGGGGCGGTTTCTGACTATTTGTCTGTACAGCACTTAGCACAACAGAGCCCAAATGTTAGTTGGGGTCTGTAGGCGCTACTGTAATCAAACTACAGAATCAAATTCTGCCCACTGTCACACATCCAACACTTTCATACAAGTAAATGGGAGTTGTGAGAGCACATCTAAGTGCAGGATTAAGCCCCCAGAACAGTAATAGGAAAGAATGTGCTGCATGACCAAAATAGGCAGAGTGCCCTGTCATGTCTGACAAATGCTTTGAATCTATTTTTTGGTAACTCTGTTAACACAGAAAAGTTTTTAATATGTATACTGCCTAAGCTGATGTCCAGCCATGGATGACTGTTTTCACAGTGGCAAAAAGGGGTCTTTACCTCAGTGGGATCCATACAGCTAATCTGTCCTATACTTCTTGGAGAATTAACCCCCCTGTGTTTTCCTCTACAGAAGTCACTGCTTAAAATAAACTTGTCAATAAACATTTACAGGCTAGATTCTGCAAACCTTATTCATGTTGGCCAGCACTTACTCATAAGACTACTACCATTGAAGTGAGCAAGAAATTCCTACCCAATGAGAGTAGGGGTTGCAAAATCAGGCACTTTGTTGGTAAAAACAGAGCATGATTATCTCAGTGTATTCCTTGGTTTGGTTGTAGAGGGCCAGCTCCAGAGCCGATGTAAATTACTGCAGATCAATTAAAACCAACGGAGCCAGGCCCATTTATACCACATGAGATGTGGTTTGCAGATTTGACTCATCACTACCTCCAACTTACTGTACTATTTCATTTATGCTATTAAAATACATCATTTTCAATCTTACAAATCTACCTTTTTTAATAGAGAGATTATATTACCAAACAATGAGGAGTCTGGTGGCACTGTAAAGACTAACAGATTTATTTGGGCATAAGCTTTAGTGGGTAAAAAAACGCACTTCTTCAGATGCATGGAAGAAGCTTATGCCCAAATAAATCTGTTAGTCTTTACGGTGCCACCACACTCCTCGTTGTTGTTGTTTTTGTGGATATAGACTAACCCGGCTACCTCTCTGATGTATTACCAAACCACATTCTAGCAAATGTGATTTCTCTGTGTATATGACGTGTGTGTCATGAGTCAAATGAAACCTGAAAGAGAGCTGAGAAGCCAACTTGCATTTGATATATCAAATGCTGACTGCACAGGATGAAAAGAATATGGCCTTTAACTCATCTTGGTTTAAAAAAAACAGAAGTGAATAATTGTTTTCCAGTAGACACAGCTCTGTTTCATGAGAAATATTTGTTGATTTTACGGGGATAGCAGCCAGACAGTTGTTGGGTGGCGTACTACACAAAGAACACTTTCATTTTTGGCAAGGCATAGCATAGCTGAAATACCAGAGTCCATGGCTAATTAAGTGGGTTGATGAACGAATGATTAGATGAAAAGATTTAATTGGAATGAACATTCTTATAGACTAGTTATTGTATCCGTCTTTCAGGGCCAGACCTTCAGTTGCAGATGAGCAATACTCAGTGCAACTGAAGGGACAGAGGGGGCACAATGGTGCCCTTTACACTCCTTTGATCCTGGGACTGTTATGCACCAAACTGGGCCCTTGGCAAAGCTTATTGTAGACTGAGGCTACTCTAACTTGTGCCAGCTACCAATGGCCCCAAGGAGCTGTTACAGCATCTGGGGATCACCAGCACACAGGGGAACCGCAATCACACTCCTGGGCTCCAATTATGCCCCCTCCCCACACTGGCAGCTGGGGATGAGAGAGTTACACAGGAGCTGCTGTAGCAGCTCTGCCCCGCCCAATGACCTCAGAGGGGAGATTTTCCAAGGACCAGACCCACCAAGCTTAGGGCCACTTTGGAGAGACAAAAAGCAGATGAAGCAGGACCCACAATCAAACATTTAATCTAAGCTCTGTTGCCTTTTGTTGTTTTTCTTACACTTAAGAGTTGAGTATCTTAATAATAAAAAAACCCTTCATTTTTCATTTAATATTTGCGTTTGGACAATACCACTTGGAACTGAACGAAGTATAAGTTGTTTTAGTGTTTTGCTAATGCAATGGGGCAGATTCTCTGTCCTGATCCGGTGCCTTTGCACCACCTGGGAGCGGAAAATTCCCACAAGTTCCCGGCCTTGGGCTGGGAAGCTCAAGCAGTCTCCAGCTAGTCATGGGGAATCATAGTTGGGTGGTGCAAATCTGAGCAGCTCCCCTGGCTGCTTCTAACTTGTGCTGGGGAGAGCTCTAAATGGCTCCCCGACAGTCCTCAGCTCTCAGAAGAAGCTGTATGCAGCAGAGACTCTGTTCTCAGATATTCCATCACACAAGCTAAACTATACACTGTAACCTTTATGTTCTAATAAATTTGTTAGTCTCTAAGGTGCCACAAGTCCTCCGTTCTTTTTATAGGGAACTGGGACACCTTCTTCCCTCAGGTGCTGTTGCTACTACATGGGCTGCCAAAAAGATTGGGAGCACCAGATTCTGCCCAGCCAACTACCAGCTTCTACTGCTGTGACTTCAGATTCTCCTGCTGACTGAGTCCCCCTCACCAACCAAAGAGGAGAGCGAGCCCCAAGTTAGCAACACTGCCTCAAGCTAAACCAAAGAGAGGGAATTTTTCCTCTGCTTTTGAGAGAGAAGGCGAGCTGTGCTTGCCCCTGTTCCCATTTTTAATGCCAGGTAGAGAAGTGATGCCTATGCATATAATATCTACAATGCTTTGGAGTTTTTCAGCACTACATAAACCTAAGATTCTCCGGCCTGTTCTACTCCCTTTGTGCTGCTCAGGCTGCATAGAGAACAGGAACCAGTTAAACTCTCCAACTGGGTAGTCCCCTTGCCACATGTTAAAAATTGTCCATGTCCAGGCTCGCTGTTGGCATGTGGGAACTCAGTACAGCAGAGCATCTGGGCCATATATTTTTATTTCAGTGATATCATTTCACTAACTGTACCAATGTTGGTAGAAGAAAAATGCTGGGTTGTTAAACAGAAAATGCTTTGTTTCATTCTGTCAGGTTTTCTGACATTTAAATAGTCACTAAAGTGATCAATCATTTTTTGGTGGAGAACCATGCAACTCATCAGTAGTACACGGACACTACTATTCTTCATGACTGCTGCTAAGTTCTTCTCATTGCAGTATTCTTGGATACCATAAAGTGGTAAGCAACAATCCCTTCGATCCTGGCATATCCAACAAGGGTGTTGGTCTGAGGACCAGTTGCCCCCTTAGAAGAAATATGTATGGAATCAGAAAATGCAGCTGCTATTGCATGAATTATCACAGTAAAAATAAGTGACTTTAATCACAGTAGCATGAAGGCATCTCTGCTTGCTGGTACCCAGTTCTACAGAGCATGCAGAGAGATCCAGGCATGAGAGTATTACTAATGCAGATATCATGGCCAGTTAGCTCGCTCCAGGCCCCTACCACATATATGCGTACTGCTGGTTGCCTCATGCCTCTCTTTGATTTTATGGAGGGTAAGAATCCTGAAGTTCCAGTCACTATTATAACACTGCATGATGGAAGTTCAGCTCCCACTTGGGCCGTTTTAACAAATTTGGTGAAGGCTTCCTTTTATTACTTTGTTCTACAACACAGCTGGAGGAAAGGTAAGGGAGTTACTGTACACCTGTTTTGGGGCACAACTCAAACAATTTTCAATCTTATTCACTCTTGACTTGACTGAACCTTTTTAACAAAAGAACATTCAATGAGTAGAAAGACCACCACTTAAGTGACCAACCACAAAACAAAGGGAGAATAGTCAGAGCAAACAGCTTCTTTCTGATCAAAGTATTCATCCAAAATATCTGGAGAACAATTATGAATACCAAATACATTTGCAACTGATGGGAATAGTTCAAGGACTGTTTGCAATTCAGTTCCCAGCTATATTTAAAAATTAGACATTTCCATAATTTGTATAATCTGAAAGAATTTGTTTGCAAACTGAAGAAGAGGGGGAGCCAATAGCAAGTATTTGTATGCATTATATACAGTGGTTGTTATTAAATGGACATTTACCAAGTGTTCAGACATCATAATGATAAGTGCAAGAAATATGGATGGATAGTTAGATAGAGACTCAGCTCTTAGTTGCATCGCTGTAAATCCAGACTAACTCAACAGACTTTAATGGAGTTACTCCAAATATACACTGGTGCAACGGAGATCAAAACTTGATCCAAAGTCAGACAGCAAAAGATCCCATACAAAAATACCTGAACTACTTGTATTTGTTTATTCTGAATATAGAGAAAAACTACACCTGACTTGGCGGGGGGGGGGGGGGGGGGGGGGAGAGCTTCCCTACAGGTTCTTACCTATTCCACAGGAAGGCTGTAGTTTACTGCTGTATTTAGTTGGAGAAGACAATGTACAGGTTGGCTTCTGGAAATCATTTCTTTGAGTGCTTTGTCTGTCGTAAGGTGGACTATAATGATATACACATGGTTCCCCACTTGGCCACCAATGATGCTTTAAAGTCAAAGGGAAGAAAAATGTATTTCTATCCAAACACTTAGGTAATAAAGCAAGTACCGATAGAATGCTTCTCTAAACTTCTTTCAGTCCTCCACAAGTTTTCAACTCCCCCACCTACTTCCACTATTGCTTAGCACATTCTGACTCTTAAATAGGAGAAAATCAGCCGAGTCTGAAGTTTGATTGATATGACCCCATTGACATCCAGCATCCTTCTCCCCCTTCTTCTTCTGTCCTGCACTGAAATTCTTCTCTCTCACCCCCCACTGTGTCAAGGAAAGGCTCCTGCAAGTGGGAAGCAACAGAGAAAGGCTCCGAGCATTGAGTCTCCCCCCGCCCCTGCCCCACCTCCTCCCCTGAGCATACAGCTCCCCACTCCTCCCCCCTCCCTCCTGGAAAGCGCTAAGCACCACCAAACAGCTGTTTGGTGGCGGGAAGCTCCTGGAGGTAGGCAGAGGAGCTGGGATGCGGCACGCTGTGGGCGGGGGTGAGGGGATCTTGGCGGCCACAGGAAATAACTCCAGGGGGGTGGGGATGGGGAGCTTGGCGGGCTGCAGCAAATAACTCTGCAGGCCACATGTGGCCCATGGGCCGCGTGTTTGAGACCCCTGCTCTAAGCCATGTCTCACTGTCTATACTGCTATTTATACCTGCGCTAGCTGGGCATGCAGTGTCTGCACTCTGCATGCCGCCACAAGTGTAGATGTAGCCACAGAAATGTGATATACAAACACCCTTTCTAAGAATCACTGTTCTCTTTTCATACTAGTACACAAAAAGAATCAAATTAAATTACAAACTACAGTGTGCTAAAGTAAATCCAAGAATATGACTTAAACTTACAAAGCAAGTACAATCAGAGTTTAGCTAACTTGCCTCTTTGTGCCTGGCTAATACAAATATCCTCACACAGTGGATGATTTTACATGGCATATATGCTGCAAAACCTAGGCACAAAAGAGTAAGTTAAGCAGAGATTTTAAGGCGTAATACTCTATTTCCTTACTAGTGAGGGGTTCATTCAGATCCTTAGCATTAGTTAATGGAGTTCTTTTATACAACATACATGTACATATTATTTAGAATATGACCTTAATTTGAAAGATAATGCAAAATGGTCCTACCTTTTTAGCCATTGTGCCTTCTGTTTCCATATAGTATATTGGTTCATTTAAGAACCTTACGTTGGTGTTAATTAATTTTGCATAACGTGGTTGGGGATTATTGCGCCACTCTGGTAAATATGAGTGCTGGAAAGACTGTTTATTCTTTTTAGGTAGATATTCACCATTAACCTTTTCTATTTTCATGTTTACTTCTGGTATATCAATATTAAATATTCTATAAGTATTTGGGCTGAAAGACATAACATGACAAAGAGATGATTATTTCCATACACATATACCAATATTTTTTGATAGTATAATAGTTATATCACATAGAAGAGGATAATAAAATACCTGCTAAGAACTTAGTTGGCCTGATTCTGATTTCACTCACTACTTTCCAAATCCAGAATAAAACTGATTTCAATGGAGTTACTCTTCATTCACATGGTCATAAAGGACAGCAGAGTTTAACCCTACATCCTGATTAGAATCTCTCTCGCTACTTTTGCACTAACATATCTACTCTCTTCACTGGTGTTACTCATGATAAATACCTGTGTAGGTGAAATCAGGATGAGGCTGTACAAATAGCTTCTGCTGATTGGGCTGTTACAATGTGAGTTGGCATCCCAGGACTCTGATCCCCTTTAAATAAACTTATATCAGACTTATGGATGTATCTTCCTTGACAATGAGAGCTCAAGACCATTTCACATTCTAAATTCTTGGGCTGGGCTGCAGTGTCTCAAATTCTTCCTCACAATGCCCAGCATTCTATTCCTGATCCTTCAAAATCCAGTTTTTGCCCTGGACATTCTACCAACACAATCCTCCCTAGAATTATTAATGACTTACTTGTAGCTAATTCCCAATATCTCACTTTTCTTCTTATCTTCTTTGACTTATTAGCTCCTTTTGACACTGTGGATCCCTCACATCTCCATCACCTTGGCACATATGTTTTTTCTGACAGGATCTCCAATGCGTTTCTTCCAACTTATCTAATAAATCTTTCACATCATACTAGGATAATAACCTTTTTTTCCTACATCCTCTCTCAGCTGGTGTCCCCAAGGGATCTGTTCTTAGTCTCCTACTCCTGTCTTTATACTCTGCCTTCGGGGACGTTATCTCTGATCACAGCTGACAATATCATTTGCACGTTAATGACACTCAATAAAATTTCTCCTGCAATCTCTCATTCAGGCTTGTCTCCATTTCATAAAATGGAATAAGTAGTTAAATATTCAAAATTACAAAGAAAACAGCACCCCAATTAAAAAAAAAACAGACCATCTCAGAAGTATTTCTATGTGAATAATGAATAAAGTGAATAAATACTTTATTAGAAAAATAAATAAATAGAACTGATAATTAACATAAAAGGTATAGCTAGTGTTTCCACAAAAAGGGCCTTCCTCAGAACCAAACTTATCCATAGACCATAGGAAGAAATTTCTTATTTATGCAATAGCGTCAAGTCATTAACAGGAAATAATCCACCACATAATACTACCAATGGATATCAATCACTTATCTCATACTAATAATTGCTGGATTCAGAGCAATTAACAAGTAAGGAGTCATTGAGGAGCCTTGTCTCTGACAAGATAACTTTATTATTAATGTTTGAATACAAAAGTATTAGCATGATGGTAATGCCTAGAGGCCTGATCAGGATGAGGACCCTATTGTAGGGAAGCTGTACAAACACATAGTAGAAAGACACAAATGACAATTTTCCATTGACTTCAGCTCTCTGAAGAGTTTACAATCTCGTTTTATGTTCAACGTCATTTCTGTTCACTAATACAATAGTCTTTATTTCAAGATATTTTGTTGGACTGGAAAAGTTACCAAAGAAAAAGTAACTTTTACCTGTAGCAGCACTTCGCAGGATATCCCAGGATATTAGAGAGACAAGGTAGGTGAGGTAATATCTTTTATTGGACCAACTTCTGTTGGTGAGAGAGAGAGAAGATTTTGAGCTATACAGAGCTCTTCTTCTGGTCTGGGAAAGGTGAGCATCATAGCTAATACAAGGTGAAACAGATTGTTTAGCATAGGTAGACAGCATGTATTCTAAAGGGACCATTCAAAGTGGAGTGGCCGAATAACTTCATCTTGAATGGTCCCTTGGAATATGTACTAACTACCGATGCTAAACAATCTGTTCCACCTTGTATTTAGCTGTGATGCTCAGGGCAAGTCTACACTACAAAAATAAACCAACCTAATTTATGCCAGCATACAGTTATTGCAGTAATTACATTACTTGTGCATGTCTACACTTTGCTTCTTGTGTTGGCAGTGCGCGTCCTCAGGCGGAGCACTTCCACCGACTGAATTGTCAGTGTAGGGCACTGTGGGACAGCTTCTGAAAGCCAGCAACAGTTGATGTCAGTCTAACTCAGGGGTGGGCAAACTTTTTGGCCTGAGGGCCACATCTGGGTATGGAAATTGTATGGCAGGGCATGAATGCTCACAAAATTAGGGGTTGCAGTGCAGGCTCTGAGGTGGGGCCAGAAATGAGGTGTTCAGGGGCTGGGGATTGGGGTGTGGGTGGGGGAGGAGTCCAGCTAGGAGTGCGGGCTCTGGGGTGGGGCTGGGGATAAGGCATTGGGGGTGCAGGAGGTTGCTCCAGGCTGGGACACGGGTTCAGAGGGTGGGAGGGGGATCAGGGCTGGGGCAAGGGGTTGGGGTTTGGGAGAGCGTTTGGGGCGCAGGCTCCGGGCAGCGCTTACCTCAAGCAGCAGCATGTCCCCCCTCTGGCTCCTAGGTGGAGGTGCAGCCAGGTGGCTCTGCACACTGCCCTGTCCGCAGGTGCCACCCCTGCAGCTCCCTGTGGTTCCTATGGCCAATGGGAGCTGTGGGGGCAGCACTTGGGGCAGGGGCAGTGTGCAGAGCCCCCTGGGTGCCCCTATGTGTAGGAGCCGGAGCAGGAACATGCCGCTGTTTCCGGGAGCCACGCGGTGCAGGGCCAACCTCCGATCCCATTCCCCAGCTAGAACACTGGAGCAGGGCACGCCCTGGACCCCACTCCCCGACGGAAGCTTGAGGGCCAGATTAAAACGTCAGGGGGGCCGGATGCACCATAGTTTCCCACTCCTGGTCTAACTACATCAAAACTGACTGTACACCTCTTGTGGCAGTGACGTTATTAAATCAGTGTAGTGGGCAAGTTATGTCGGTGGGAGTGAAATTTTAGTGAAGACACTACACAGCTAAGTCAATGCAAGGCAGTTTACGTCGACCTAAGGGCTTGTCTACACTGGCAATTTACAGCGCTGCAACTTTCTCGCTTAGGGGTGTGAAAAAACACTCCCCTGAACGCAGCAAGTTTCAGCGCTGTAAAGTGCCGGTGTAGACAGTGCACCAGCACTGGGAGCTGTGCTCCCAGCGCTGGTAGCTAAGGCCCTCTTGGAGGCGGGTTTTGTAGAGCACTGGGAGAGAGCTGCACCACAACCACACAAGCCACGTTAAAGCAGTGCTGTGGCAGTGCTTTAGCATTGCCAGCGTACACTCGCCCTAATTCTGTAGTGTACACCAGGGCCCAGAATACCTTTTGCAGACCTGAAGAAGATCTCAGTGTAGCTTCAAAGCTTGTCTTGTTCACCAACAGAATTTGGTCCAATAAAAGATATTACCTCACTTACCTTGTCTCTCCAATATCCTGGAACCAACACAGATACAACACTGCATACAACAATGGAAATTAAAAGGAACAGTCAGAAGAGTGAAATGCCTGCAAGCTGCATGGAAACTATTTAAAAATACCATAATAGTGGCTCAAATGAAATGTATACCCCCCCAAATTAAAAAAAAAAAAAAACATAACACAAAAAAAAGCCACCATGGCTAAGCAGCAGAATAAAAGAGGCGTTTAGAGGCAAAAAGACATCCTTTTAAAATTGTAGTAAAATCCTACTGAGGAAAATAAAAAGAAACATAAACCTTCGGACCATAAGACCTAAGAAAGTGTAAAAGCATAATTAGGTAAGCCAAAAAAGGATGAAGAGCAACTAGCAAAAGATAAAAATGTTTTTGCTGTTAGTTTTTGTAAGGACATCAGAAACAGGCAGCCTGCCAACAATCAGTGGGGCTATGAGACAGTCAAAGAGATAAAGGAGCACTCAAGGAAGACAAGCTGTTGCAGAGAAGCTAAAGGAATTCTTTGCATTTGTCTTCACTGCAGAGGATGTGAAGGAGACTCCCACACCTGAGCCATTGTTTTCAGGTGACAAATCTGAGGAACTGAACCAGACAGAGGCATCAGTAGAAGAGGTTTTGGAACAAACCGATATATTAAATAGCAATAAGTCACAAGTACTAGATAGCATCGACCCAAGAGTTCTGAAGAAATTGCAGAACTACTAACTGTGGTATGTAACCTACCGCTTAAATCAGTCTCTGTATCAGATGACTAGAGGATAGCTAATGTAACACTGATTTTTAAATAAGGCTCCAGAGGCAATCTTGGCAATTACAGGCGGGTAAGCCTAACTTTAGTACCGGGCAAATTAGTTGAATCTATAGTAAAGAATAGAATTATCAGACATAGATAAACGCAGTAAGTTTGGGAAGAGTCAACATGAATTTTGTAAAGAGACATTATGCCTCACCAATCTATTAGAATTCTCTGAGGGTGTCAACATAGTAGAAAGACACAAATGACAATTTGTTGACAAGGCGATCCAGTGGATACAGTGTACTTGGACTTTCAGAAAGCCTTTGATAAGATCCCACACCAAAGGCTCTTAAGCAAAGTAAGCCGTCATGACGTCAGAGGGAAGGTCCTTTCATGGATCAGTCATTGGTTAAAAGATAGGAAACTAAGGGCAAGAATAAATTATCAGTTTTCACAACGGAAAGAGGTAAATAGCAGGGACCTGGAAGGATCTGTAATGGGACCGGTCCTATTCAACACATTCATAAATGATCTGGAAAAGGGGATATAAACAATGAGGTGGTAAAGTTTGCAGATGATACTAAAGTACTCAAAATTCTTACATCCTAAGCCAGAGGTGGGAAAACTACGGCCCACGGGCCACATCCGGTCCGGCCCCTGAGCTCCTGCCTAGGAGACTAGCCCCCTGGTCCCTCCCCTGCTGTTCCCCCTCCCCGCAGCCTCAGCTCACTGCTCCGCCGGCACAATGCTCTGGGTGGCGGGGCTGCGAACTCCTGGGGCAGCGCAGCTGCAGAGCCTGGCCTGACCCGGTGCTCTGTGCTGCACGGAGCGGCTGCCTGTCCTGGTGCTGCCGTGCCATCAGCCACCTGTGCTCCAGGCAGCATGATAAGAGGGCAGGGAGGTTGGATAGAGGACAGGGGAGTTTGGTGGGTTGTCAGGGGCCGGGGGTGTGGATAGGGATCAGGTTGGTCAGAGGGCGGAGAACAGGGGGGTTGACTGGGGGCAGAGGTCCTGGGGGGGCAGTCAGGAAGGAGTGGGGGTTGGATAAGGCGGCAGGGGTCAATTGGGGTGGGGTGGGGGGTCTGGGGGCGGTCAGGGGACAGAGAGCAGGGGGGTGGATGGGGCAGGGGTTCCCAGGGGGGCTGTCAGGGAACAGGGGGCATTGGATGGGGCAGGAGATCCGGGGGGACCGTCAGGGGGCAAGAAGCGGGGGGGTTGGATAGGGGGCAGGGGCTGGACCACGCCTGGCTGTTTGGGGAGGCATAGCCTCCCCTCACCAGCCCTCCATACAATTTCAGAAACCCGATGCAGCCCTCAGGCCAAAAAGTTTGCCCGCCCCTGTCCTAAGCTGACTGTGAAGAGTTCCAAACAGATTTCACAGAACTGGGAGACCTGGCAACAAAATGGCAGACGAAATTCAATGTTGACAAATGCAAAGTAATGCACACTAGAAAACATAATCCCAACTATGCATATAAAATAATGGGTCTAAATTAGTTGTTACTACTGAAGAAAGATCTTGGAGTATCGTGGATTGTTCTCTGAAAACATCCGCTCAATGTGCAGCAGCAGTCAAAAAAGTGAACAGAATGCTAGGGACCATTAGAAGGGGGATAGATAATAAGACAGAAAGTATCGTAATACCACAATATAAAACTAAACACCTTGAAAAATGTGTGCAATTCTGGTTGCACCATCTTAAAAAGGATGTATTAGAATTGGAAAAAGTATAGAGGGGGGCAACAACAATGATTAGAGTTATGGAACAGCTTCCACATAAGGAGAGATTAAAAAGCCTGGAAGTGTTTGCTTGGAAAATAAATGACTACGGAGAGATATGATAAACAGCTATAAAATCATGAAGGGTGTGGAGAAAGTGAATAGGGAAGTGTTGTTTACCCTTTTACATAACACAAGAACCAGAGGTCACCCAATGAAGTTTTAAAACAAACATAAGAAACTAGTTCTTCACACACAATTAACCAGTGAAATTCATCGCCAGGGATTGTTGTGAAGGCCAAAAGCATAACTAGGTTCAAAAAAGAACTGGGTAAGTTCCTGAAGGATAGATCTATCAATGGCTGTTAGCCAAGATGGTCAGGGACACAACCCCATGCTATGGGTGTCTCTAAACCTGACTGCCAGAAGCTGGGACTGGATGACACAGGATACATCATGATCTCTTCATTTCCCTAAAGGATCCCGGGCTAGATGGACCATTAATCTGATCCAGTGTGGCATTACGTGTCTACAGCCTCCCAAGGTGCACACAATTGTAGGTACATAGCATAGGGTGTAGTGAGATAGAAAGATCAAGCAGTTCGGCTGAAGACTTAGATCCCATTCCTGCAAGTATTTACTTATTTGAGGAATACTTGGCTCCCAATCAGAAGACTGCTGGAATGGTGGCTCCTCAGGTAAGCGAAGGCTGGCAGTCTCAGGCCCTGGGGACAGACGGTTGTTAAGGGCTCAGTCCCCAGGGCCCTGAGCAGAGGGTGCTGAGCCCATGGCAGAACAACACCCAATAGCACAGGACCAGGTGCTAACTCCTCCAGCACCCACTCAGGGCCAGGTTTCTGCAGGGACTGTCCCTCAGGGCTGGCCCCCTGAGGTTGCAAGGGTTAGAGCCTGGGCCTTGCACAGCCAGAGAGCCCGCAGCAAAGGCAGCACTTACAGCGGGTGCGGGGGCGCCTTCTTCCTGCAGGGCATGCTGTCCCCTGGCGTCCGGCGCTGGGTGCCGTGGGGAAGAGGGGGTGCGCATAGGGAGGGGGGGGGTAAAGGGGATGCACGTGGGGGCAGGAGCGCGGGGCAGAGAGCAGACAGAAGGTGCGCGTGGGGGAGGGTGGACGCACTTGAGAGCGTGGGGCAGAGGGGAAGGGGCGGGAGCACGCAGCGGGCAGCAAGAGGTGTTGGCGGGGCGCGGCGCGGCGCAGCAGGCAGGCGCGGGGACTACGCGGGGGTGGCCGAGGCGGCGCGCAGGGGCAGCGGGCGCGCGGGCGCCACTCCGAAGGCGGCAGCGCCGCTGCCCCAGCCCGCCTGTTCTGTTGCCGCGTGGTTGCCAGGAGACGCGGGGGGAGGGCGGCTCTTGAGTCTCCCCCGGGGGAGCCCCCGCCCCCGCCCCCGCCCCGCTGGCTCCTCTGGCAGGGGCCGGCCGAGCCCGTCTCGCCCGGGGTGTGCGGCCAGCCCCGTTGCTGGCGGCGTTCGAATCGGGCCTGCCCGCCTCCCCCGCCGCCAGGTGCTGCAGCCGGGTTTGCGCGCGGAGTCCCCCCGGCTCCCCAGTGCGTCCGGAGGGGATTGTTTTGCAGATTTCTCCAGTGTAGGCAAAGCCCCGGTCAGATCAGACCTGCCAAAACCAGAAAGCGCTGGGCTGGCCAGAGCATAAGTGGGTCCAGAAACTGAGCCGGTTCCCTGAGCTGGTATTGAAAGCTGTTTAAAAAACAGTATAAACAAAACGTTTTCCCGTCCCATCCCCGATAATAATCCTCGGTCAGTTTTATAAAGCCCCGCAAGAGCTGCGGTTGAGAAGGGCTCTCTGAACTAACTTATTTCAACAGCAGTTCAAGGGAGCCCAGAGCTGAAAACCATTTTCCAAAGCCCTTCAATTGCCTGTTACTGGTGGGTGATAACAACACAACACCTACTTTTTGAATTATCTGCCTCTTTTTAAAATGAGGACGTTCAAGTTTGTCTGCCTTCCTCTCCGAAAATTAAAAATGTCAATTCTGGAAATTGTAAATCTGCACATTGTATGAATTTAGGAACTTGACTAATGGAGAAGAGACATTTATTTCAATTGTGGTTTTTAACCATGAGTTAAAATTAAATTAAGAACTTTCTATGGTTGTTTTATGAAAGGTTTTGGATATTCTGGTTAGGTTGATACAGAGATTACTTCCTAAGGAGAAAGGATGATAGTAATGAGGTGGGACACCTGGTTTTCCAATTGTTTCCTATAAATCCTTTCAAGAACAATTGGATTTTAGGAGTTATCTAGAGAAGGATTTTTCATTCTTTTAAATTGAGAGATCTCCCTGAAACTAAAATTAGGTAACAGGTAACACTGCATTTAGTTACCACAAAGTGGGTTAAGAAAGGGATAACATTGATTTAAATTTAATCCAAGAAAAGTAGACTACAGATCTCCTAAATCAACCTGCCTATGTCCTTAAACCAGTTTAAATTGATTGGTCAATTCAAAAGCTTCATTTTTCCTTTCCATGTGTGTATAGGATTTTTTTAAAAAATGTTTATGTTAAATGTTTGTTTGTAGTGAGAGGAACTATTTGATTGATTAAATCATTATCTTCCTCTAGAAAAAAATCAAACAAACTTTTACACAAAGACTTCCGTACAGAAGTGAACTAGCTCTAGTCAGTAAACATTAGCTTCACTAGTTTCGAATAGCTGGAAAGGTTGACTCTTCCTTGTGTGCCATTGCAAACGGTGCTCACTCAACTCATCACTTGCAGACTTATTACCCAAAACTACTCCTTATATTTACATAATTATAGTTGTGGCACATGTGCTGCTGTAGTGATGGCCATATCATCACTTTCCCTATAAACTTTGTGTTTACCGGATTTATAATTTGTCCCTTACAATTTTCCCCTGGATGAAACTTGCTCCACAAGGTCTCAGCCTGGGAGAAGGAGGATGTGCGCCGTGCCACTGAATGTGGGAAGGAGCAGCACTGGTACAACTAGGGCTATTATATCCCAGCATTTTCCTGGAGCCACCAGCTAAAGCTACAAAGACCAGTGTGGAAATAAAGACTGTTTTAAATATTCCTATGCAGGAAAGGACTTTAAAGTGAAGGGAGAGCAACACTTTAAGATCAGTGAAGTTAACCCTATCTCCACCTCCAACTTGCATTTTACAACACTTTTCTGCATGCCTGGTTAAGAGAATCCCCTATGGCCTTACACTGTCAGAGAACATACTTCACCTCCACTCCGAATACCCTCTGGATCAGTGGCAGTGGCCCATTGGGGGTCCTAAGCAAGAATATTTCTCCCCCCCCAACACATAATAAGTGAATAGGGGCCCCCTTTGAGCTGCTAGGGACCCTAAGCAATTGCTTAGTCTGCTTAAGCCCAGCACTGGCTTTGCACTAGATTGTAGCAATAAAAGCAGGAACTCCATAGAGAAGCCCTGACTACATTATAGTGAGATGCCAAAGCCACCTACTGTTGCTGCCAGCTACAGCTGAGCAGCTAGAAGAGAGGAAGGAAGGGAAAAAAGCCAAAACAAACAACCAAAAAATGCACACACCCCCCTCCGAAGCTGTGCCTGGAGCAGCATTATAAAAGAAGCTGCATCCTGATCAGCTGTGATGCTTGAAATAAAATTCAGAGGCAAGTCCCAGAAGGAAAGGAGAGAGCTGCAAGGGCTTCTGGGAGTTTGCAGACTGTAACATTCTGGCTGACCTCAGACTCAAGGGACTTGAGAGAAAGTTGATGGGAAGAGAAGTGCCTTGGCACAGGCAGTTGGGTTGTTAAACTTTAAGTGGGGAGGGGGAAGAAGTGCCAAAGAGCTGAAAGAAGCCTGAGAGTGCTGAATGTTCTGTCTTTTGGAATGATATGTTGTAGTTATCCACGTTTCCATCATGTGTAATAAGCTACCAGGTCTGAGAACTCCCATCTGATTTCAGGGCTTTCTAATCCCCCACACCCAAACTCTATCTGTCACACTCTGTGGTGTGGCTTACAGCCATGAGTGCCAACCTCATGGTAGAAAGTCAAAAAGCAGGGCAGAAACTCCAAACTGGTTGTGTGGTCTACAATTAGATTTCACCAAGCCAGTAACAGGTGTAAACTCTGAAAACACTCTAAAAGTTTTATCAGGGAATCACAGACAGTCCCCTTGATCACACCAGTCTATCTTGCCAACCAGGCAAGCTGGGCTATATGATAGATCGGCACTTTAAACCAAAAATCAGAGAACAATATTCAGGTTACTCCCAGTCCCAAAGGACCAGTCATTTTTTGGAATGTTGAGTCAGACATATGTAAATTATACCAGTAGAAAGAAAAGTGGGTGTTGCAGAAGTACAACCTACCCTTCTATATAAGATGTGGTGTGGCCAGGTAAAATCCTGTCTCTGAGTCTGAATCCAAATCAAGTTTCTGGGTGGCAAGCTGTCACTTGCCTCTCTGTATGGTTTAGGTATTACTGGTCTTGGGCTCTGGGAGGGAGTTTGGGTGGACGAGGGGGCTCAGGGCTGGGGCAGGGGGTTTGGGGTGTGGGAGGGGGCTCAAAGCTGGGGAAGGGGGTAGGATGTGGGGTTTGGCATGCAGTAGGGGGGTTTGGGGTGCTGGCTCCGGGAGGGGGGCTCAGGGCTGGGGGTTGGGGTGTGGGAGGCAGTTCAGGGTGCAGTAGGGAGTTTGGGGTGGTGGCTACGGGGGGGGGCTCAGGGGTGGGGCCGGGGGTTGGGAGGGGGTGAGAGGTGTGGGCTTCAACCAGGTGGTGCTTACCTTGGGCGCCTCCCAGGTGGTGGCGCAGCAGGGCTAAGGCAGGCTCCCTGCCTGGCCTGGCCCCACGCCACTCCCAGAAGCAGCTGAAATGTCCCTGCGGCCACTGGGAGAGAGCTGGGGTCTCCACGCACTGCCCCTGCCTGCAGGCACCGCCCCCACAGCTCCCATTGGTCACAGTTCCTGGCCAATGGGAGCTGCAGAGTCGGCACTCGGGACGGGGGCAGCATGCAGAACCCCTCTTGCCCCCCCTCCCAGAGGCTGCAGGGATGTGCCGGCTGCCTCTGGAAGTGGTGCAGAGCCAGAGCAGGTAGGAAGCCTGCCTTGGCTCCTCTGTATTGCCGGACTTCTAGTGACCTAAAATCTCCCAAGTTTGGCTTCTGTAGCCTCTGGGAGATAGAGCCTAATTCTGGGAGACTCCTGGCGAAACTGGGAGGGTTGGCAACCCTAACAACAGCCACTAGTTAAGGCCAACCAGAGACGGAGAGAAAGGGTGACTGGCTGACTTTCCTTTGATGTCTCAATCTCACTGAGGAGGATGGGGATCCCAGAAGGAGAGAGAAGAGAAAGGAGTGAGATGGAGGGGCATCTACCTCAGTTCTCACCAACACACTTTTCATTGAGTTGCAGCAGAGGAAGGAGAAAGGGGGAGACCTCAGCAATCATATCTGTCCATAGATAGACTACCAGCTGGGGGAAAGGGTGAGAAGAGGAGGTGTGTGTGAGGAGGTGGGCAGGTGTCCAGTGTAATATGGAAACATAGGGACTGCAGTTCACATTAGATTTGTTTACCAATTTTTTCACTAGGTAGCGGTAAGATTGTTTCTGTCTTTTTTAATATTTGTTTGGGTTCTTGTAATTGGTTACTTCAGGCTATTTATTAGCAGGACTTTATCCCAAGTAACTTATCAGATAGCTGTAGGCCCTGGATCTGTTGTTATTTTCTTTATGTTTGCTGCCTTAATTAAGTCTTATGCTTTTGGACTGTCACTTATGCATTCTTTTTTGCTGAAATTCTCTGAGGCTATTTGCCCTTATATCTATCTAGCTGGATGTATCAGAGCTTTCAGAGTCTAAATATGCATACAATTGATTTTTTTTTTTTTGCTGTTTCAGTAATTTACTCTCAATTTACTTCCTAGTTTCCTGAAGTTATTTTGTCCTGCATCACAATTTATCATTTATATCTCTTATCAGCTTCACTGCCAGATCTTGCAATTTTTTCTTATTGAATTGATCAGAAATCCAGCTTTCTAGTTCATGTTTTCATGAAATTTTGCATTTCGGTATTGTCTCCATTCAGGGATCTCAATGAAATTTACAAACAAATTACGCCTCGGAGTACATGTATGATGTAAATAAAAAGTATCAACCCCTTTGGGCAGATAGTGAAACTGAAGCACAGAGATTAAGAATGGGATTTTCAGAAGCACGTAAGTGATTTAGGTATACAAGTTCCATTGAGAGTTTGGGGGGTTA